GCATCTATTATGACGCATATGCCTGGAGGGCTGGGATTCCTCCATGTTGGTTATCCTCAACAAGCATGTATCAAGCACCTGCTGTGTGCCAGACCCTGTCCTTGGTGCTGAGAACACAGTGGTGAACAAGAAACCAACCCCTGCCCTCATGGAGTTGAGATCCCAGAGGGGAAGGCTGTGCATGGGTATCTTGTCCCCCCTCAGAGGCAGGCCACTTCCTGGGGTACAGAGGCTTCACGCTGAGATCTCCTTGGGGGGGGTGGCACAGTCAGGAGAACAGGCAGTGCCCACAGGACCTGGCAGACTCTGTCAGATCCTTTGTCTTAAGCCCTAGTCAGCTGAGATGCCCGCCAAAGGCTGGGTAGGGGGGCAGCAGCAGGCTTGAGCTCACACCTCACTCCCAGGACCCCCCGGGATTGGACCCAGGAGGCCTGGCTCCACCTTGCTCCTGGCTCACCCTGCCTGCCAGGTCTCCTGATGTCAGCTGTCTGCCCTTGCCTGTGTCTCACCCCCTGGGACCCAGGATGTCTCCTCTGCCCGAGGATAGGTTGTGGAACTCAGCCCTGTCAGAAGGCTGACTCGGGCTGCAATATTTTCTTTCCCCAAATGTTAATATGCTGACGATAAGGGGACTTGAAACCATGCATGTCATCCGAGGAAGGGTTAGAAGGGCTGGGGAGGCTTTGCCTGGAGAAGACTTGAAGGGGACATGAGAACTGTCGCCAAGGATTTGGAGACCTGTCATGTGGCAGAGGCAGCCGGCTGGTTCCTGGCAGCTCCGGCGGGCAGGCTTAGGACCATGGGGAAAGTTCTGGGGACGTAGATTCAGCTCAGCACAAGGCCCAGCAGCCCTCCCTAACCATGCCCATCCAGGCAGGGCCTGCCACCCACCTCCTGCTTCCTGCGGAAGCTCTCTGTCACCAATGGGGGCCTGGGGGCTTTGCGCGTCCATGGGGCCTGACTCCACAACTCCCGAAGTCCCTTCCAGCTGGAGACAGTGACTCCCTGTGTGGGGAGTGGTTCGCTCTGGCTGGCAGCAAGAACACGCTTGCACCCCTTGATGGCGATATCACTTGAGGGCATGCCGGCTGAGGACATCTTGTCACTTTTATTCACAACATCAATGCAATTTGCAGTGGCAAGCGTTTCTTTTGCCCTGCCTTCAAGGGCTGTCTGAGGGGAGCTGAGGGACCTGGGTGAATCTGGAAGATGACAGCATCCACCCACACTGCAGGGACCCTGGAGTCACCGATCTGGAGGGGCTCAACTTTCCTTAGGAGACGTCCCCTTTTCAGATGGAATTTTCTGCAAAAACCCAAGATGTGGAACAGAGGGCAACAGTACTGCTCTGGCTGAAGAGGGCTTGAGAGATCCCAGCCATATGTGGTTGACGCCCGACTCCACAGCCCCCGAGAGGCTCCCGGCAACCCCAGGGGTTCCAAAGAGCACACTTTAAAAACCACCATCTACCTGCCTCTATAGCTGGTGTGATGCCAAGGCAAAGAGTGTGGACTCTGAGCCAGACTGCCTGGGTTCAAACACTGGCTTCCCCACTTACTAGCTGAATGGCCTTTGACGTAGTCTTTAAACCCCTCTGTGCCTCAGTTTCCCCATCTGTAAAAAGGGGGCAATGCAGAACACTCATCTCGGTGGTCGTTGTGAAGACTGAGTTGTAATTGCATATGGAGTGCCTGGAATGCCTGGTTTATCCTCTGAGCCAGAAGGGGTCAGGTCTTCCACAGATGAAGAGAGTTGAGTGCCACACAGCTGGTTGGTCTGGAATAGGGCTTCAGCCTAGCTCTCCCAGACTGCAAGCCCTGGCCGGGCTTATTCTACTGTGCCCTCAGAATGTTAGCTGCTGAAGACAGTGTTCTCTTGCATGTCTGGGGCTTTCCAGAGCTGCTGGCTTCTGGGATCTGCCAACGAGGGATTGATTTGCTGGCTGGGGTTGAGGATTAATTTTTGAGAAGGGCCTTGCTTGAACAAGAGAAGAGGGAGCTCCAGGGTGGTGGCCCTTGGAGAACTGCCCCAATGGCCAAGAGGTATACAGAGAAGGGGGGAGTACGCAGGTCCCCAGGGCAGGGGAGCCCACCTGGAGTGTGGCCATGACCTCCAACTGGCTTCCTACTAGAGCGAACCTCTGATCCTGCTCTTCCTCTGCTCCAAAACCTTCCATGGCTCCCATGGCCTACAGGACAGAACAAACCCCTCAGTCGGATAGCAGGCCCCCTCCCATCAGGCCCTCTTCTCCTTCCCAGCCTGGTCTCCACCCTTTGACTCTCTTGCCCTCAAACAACATGCCTGACACTCTTCCCACCTCTTCACCTTTCCCTCTGCCCAGAATCTCCTACCTCACCTCACTCCCATCTTCAGATCGCACCAAACACCACCTCCTCCAGGGAGCCTTCCCAGAGAGTGCCCTAGTCCAGCAAGACCAATCTCATGTGCGCTCCCAGAGCCCTTTGTTTAATTGAGATAAAATGAACACCAACAGCCATAAAAATAGCACCTATCCATTGAGTGCTAACAACAACCTGTGAGGTGGCTGCTATTGTTACCTTTACTCTGATAAAGGAGAAAATGGAGATACTGAGTGACTAAGAAACATCTCCAGAGTTAAGAGGCGGAAGTGGTACTCGCACTGGTTCTTGTCATGGGTCTTCTGGAGTCTGGTGTCCCTGGCTTGGTGTCCTGCCACTTGCTGGTCCTGGGCCATCTGCTAGGAAATAATTAACTGAACTCTCACCTGTCTTCCCCATTTGAGTGGCAGCTCTTCGTGGCCAGGGCCCGTCCCCACACAAACACGCAGCTGCATCATATATTCTTAATAGATCATTGTTGAAGAAAGCCCAGCAGAGGAACGGAGTTTATTTAAGAGTGAGTTCAAGGCTAGGCATGGTGGCTCATGCCTGTAATCCCAGCACTTTGGGAGGCTGAGACAGAATTGCTTGAGCCCAGGAGTTTGAGACCAGCCTAGGCAACATAGCGAGACCCAACCCCAAAAACATCAAAAAAATTAGCTGGACGTGGTGGCGTGTGCCTGTAGTCTCTGGTACTCAGGAGACTGAGGCGAAAGTTCCCCTGAGCCCAGGAGGTCGAGACTGTGGTGAGTTGTGGTGGTGCCTCTGTACTCCAGCCTGAGCCACAGAATGAGACCTCCAACTCAACATAAATAAAGTAAAAGTGAGTTCAACAAAGGAAGGGGTGGGGGTCACTTGCCTTCAGCCCACACAGTGCCCCTAACCCTTCCAGTAGAGCCAGGGTAGGTTCCTATGGAGATTGCTGGGAGAGGCGCAGGCCCCAGGCCCAGAAAGCACATGCGTCCAGGCCTGAGCCTTGGGGCCCTAGTGGTGTGCCCTGCCCAGCTCTCTCTTGGAAGCCTGGAGGTCAAAGGCCCAGGCCTCTGGCCTGAGAACTTTGGCAGATGTGGCCCCTCCAGCCTTGCAGAGCTGTGCTCTTCAGCCTGGGCAGGAAGGACAGGGCCTTGGTGTTTGCAGGGTGTCCAGGTCAGAGCTCAGAGGTGCTGTGGGTCCCGAGCTTAACAGTGAACTGGGTGTGGGGCCTCCTGGGGGCTGAGGCTGCAAGCTTGCTATAGGAGGAGCTAGAATTGGCCTGCCAGGTGAACAGGTGGGGGCCACATAGGAGTGGCCTTTCTCCACAGCTAGGAGGCTCAGGAAGTTAGGAAGGGAGAGGCAGGGCTTAAGCAGGACACCTGCAGAGCAGGTAGTGAGCCTGCTGCCCAGAGCACTGGTGTGCAAGTAGGAGGGAGCCCCGAGGGCCCTGGGAGCTGGCGATGACCACTGGGCCCTCCTCCATGAGACTCCATGGCCAAGGAAGAGACTGAGAAAGGGAGGCAGAAGCTAAAACCACAGTAACTGGGACCAGACAGAGATCATCAGCTCTTAATTATCACGATCACTGGCTCCGAGAAGCCCACACAGGCTCCTCTGTAAATAAACAGTGCCTTCTCGACTTTAGGACGCATCCCAGCACACACACATGGCTTCCCAGTGCATGTGTGATCTATGCCGGTCTCTCTCCACTCGCTCCCCTACGTGATCATTTTTGGTCAGCGTTTTTGCTTCCCTTACATTTGGTTTGGGCTAATGTTAATAATCACATTAGACCAATTAGCCCTAGGGAAGGAGGTCTGATCAGCATTGACCAGAGAGGAAACTTCTGTGACTTGTCCAAAGCTCAGAAGAGGCGGGATGTGGGCAAAAGTCCAGATTTTCCCACCAGGGCCGGTCTCAGGCGTCAAGGTCGCCACTCCTGAAGTATGTGGCCCCTCAGATGGGCTGCTGCATTGAGGGGACGCAGAGGTGAGGTCAGGGGCCAAGAGGTGGAGAGGGCAGGAGTGTGCACAGGCCAGGGTAGGCTTCCAGACCATGGAAGCCTGAGCTGAAGGGGCAACAGTGGCTTAGAGGGTTCCAGAGATGGCCCTTGACTACACATGTGGTAAACATCTTGGCAAACATTGATGGGGGCCTGTTAGTACCCTTGAGACAGACGTCCTCAGAGGGTCTGTAGGGCCAATAACTCTTGGAGTAAATGCTACCGGAGTTGTGGTCCAGAGTACATATGAGGGGGTGGAGGGGTGGCATGGTAAAGCACTGGACAGGAAGGCTGAGCAGAAGCAGGGCCCTGTAGAGGGGTCTGACGGACCCGATTAAGTCTGGCTGAACTGAGGGACACATTTGGCCTCTCCCTTTGAGTGTCCCATGTTTGGAGGATGACAGATCCCATGTACTCTCACAGGGTCTGTGCAGGGAGACTGAGATGCCAACCAACACAAGTCCCCATTTTACAGATGAGGAAACAGAGGCACAGAGAAGGGTAGTGGCTACTACCCAAGTTCACCCAACAAGGCAGAGTTGGGAGTAGAACCTGGATTCAGAGCTCCCGATGTTGGAGCCAGATATAAGGGTAGGGCGGTTGTTCTGGGGAGTTTGGGCTGAAGGAGGGTGGCCAACCCTGGCCATTGAGGGTCTGACCTGTGCATGTCCTCCCCAGGGGCGCCCACGCGCGATGTCCTGCTGGTCTCTGCCATCATCACCGTCAGCCTTAGCGTCACTGTCGTCCTCTGCGGCCTCTGCCACTGGTGTCAGCGCAAACTGGTGAGGCTCCTGCGGGCCCCCGGAGGGCGGGGCCTGGCCCTGCACCCCGCCCCCAACGATCGCAGGCTGCTGCGGTCCATAGTCGGGGGCACTCCCCGTCGAGGCTCGGAGCACGTGCGCGCTCGCCCTGCGTTTGCCTGGGTCTCGGCCCTTGGTCTGCGCGTGCACGCAGAGCCACACGCCCAGGGACACGTCGGCGACGGGCTTGGGACTCAAAGGTCTTCGCGGGCTCGCAAGCACGCACGCGCGCGCGCGCGCGCACGCACGCCCCACCTCCCGCGAAAAGAGCCGCAGGCACACACGCGCAGACTGAGAATGGCGGCCCCTCGCTCCCCGCGCCGCGCCCCCGCCCCCGCCCCCGCCCCGCTTCCCCCCGACGGGCGCGGCCGGGCCGGGCCTCCTGGCCAATGGGGAGGCGCCGCCGCCCCGCCCCGCCCCCCAGCCTCCGCACATCCGTCCCGGGGCTCCGGGTTTGTACAAGCGCAAACGGCTCTTTCATTTTTAACGAGGGCTGGGGAGTTAAGGAGCAGGATTCGGCCATCAATCAGTAACGAGACCGTCAGGAGGGACATTCGTCAGCCGAGGGCGCCGAGAAGGGGCGCCGGGCCGACGCTTGCCCCGCAGCCCGCAGCTCCCTGGGGGCCGCCGATCGGCAAGACCCCACCCTCGTCCCCTCCTCCCGCGTGCGGGGCTGTGGGGGCTGCAGGGGGCGCCCCGACGGCGGGCCCGGAGGTGTCCGAGGTGCGGGCCTTTGCCGGGGTGAGGCGAAGGAGGATCACCGGCAGGCACCCGCCATCCCCCCGGGCTGAGAGTGGTGGGGGTGGCGAGAGGGTGCCACACCTGGGAACCTCATTCTCTCCTTGCCCAGTCCCAGCGGGGCCTTAAGGACGCGTACTGTGGCCGTGGGCCCGGGGGTGGGTGGGTGGAGGTTTCATGCCTCAGTCCTCAGAGGAAGAAAAGGGGCAATACTCCTGGGAAAGCACTTGGGGATCTTGTGAGGGACCTATGAGAAAGACCCAAGAGGCCCACAGCCTAGCATGCCTCCTTCCAGAAAGGCAGACTCAATTGGGAACTGCCTTTCCCCCCTGGGTGCTGAGCTTAGGGCAGCTCCGAGCTCTGGGGAGGGGGCCATGGGGAAGGTCAGCTGTTCCTCATGGGAGTGTGTGCCTGACTGTGACCAGGCCTATGCCCTGCCTGCAGGTGTGTGGAACCTGGCTGACTGCCCTGCATTGTTCCCGGGTCCCCTGTGTCTGCGTCTGTCTCAGAACTTCAGGGGAGGTGGTGGAGGGGGCCTGGCCACGTGCTGTGGTGTGTGAGTGTCCTCAGAGGCGGAGGGAGTGAATGGCTGAGCATATACTGCAGCCCTGTGCGTCACCTTGCAGGGCCCCTTAGGCTGTCTGGCTGTCTGTATTTGAAAGGAGGGGAAGAAGGTTGTATGAGCAGGCACTGCTGGCAACTTGTGTGTGTGTGTGTGTGTGTGTGTGTGTGTGTGTGTGTGCGCGCGCGCGCGCGTGCATGCGCGTGTGGTGTCTGCTGAGTGTTGACTTTGAGGGTATTCGTACAGTCTGTGTGTGTGTATGTGTGTGTGTGTGTGTGTGTGTTCATTCCTGAGTAGTGGGATATGGATCATCTCATCAGATCCCTTGTGTGAGCCCATGCTGAGGTCTGCCCCACCATCCTGTCCTCCCCTGCATATGTGCTGCAGTGTGTGTTCATTGTGTATGTGTGTGTGTGTCGAGAGGCACCTTCCAGGACCAGAGTACAACTGGCCCCCACCCCCGCTCTTCACACCTCTAATCAAGGGGCAAAACCTGGGGACAGGAGTTCAAAGACAACAGCTTTTGTAGCAGGTGGGGGGCTGTCAGGGCAGGAAGAACCCTGGGAGCTGAGAGATGCAGAAGCAGCCTCTGTTCTGGGCCCAGTCCTTCCCTCCAAACCCAGCCAGACATCCTCCCAGGGGTTCAGACCACAGTCTGTCCCTCTTGACTTGCTCTTAAGAGAATGTCACTTTCTTCAGCCCCCTGAACCCTGCCACCTCTCTCTGTGGCCTCGCAGGTTCCAGAAGCCAGGGAGCTCTTTACCCAGGCTGTCTCCTTGTTCCTTGGAGGGGACTTGAGAATGTCATCCCCCCCCCCACACACACCGTTGCTGGGCTCTCCTTGCCTGCCTGTCCCCTCAGCAGCAGTGATGTGATACCCTGACAGCCCAGATCCCATTTCCAAACATTAATAACTTCCTTAATCTCCAACTGGCTTTTTCCGGATCAGCCTAGCCAATCCCCTCCCTGAGAAGCGGGCTGGTGGTATCAGGCTCCTTTGGAGAGGCCCGATGACACCTGCACCCTGCCTGGGTTTCTTATTAACCAGTTGTCCCCCTGTCCTCCAAATCAAGTCCTGGCCTGGCTCCTGTCCCCCGCAGCACCCCGGCTCCTGCTGCAGGGTCATGGTCACAGCCAGCAGGGAAGGCCCTCTGAGCTGGGGAAGAAAGAGGGCAGGAAGAATCTTCCTGGGGGAAGTGGCCGCTGACCAGGAGTAAGCTCTCCCGCCAAGGAGAGGGTGCTGACCGGGTCACGTTCTCCTGCCAAGACCAGAAAGAAAGAGGAGAGGGGAAAGGAGTGGCACTGGGGATACCCACTGTACCCCCACACTGCCTGAGCACTGGAGAATTGTGAGGGCTAGACTCCTGCCTGAGGATTTTTCCAAAGGGGGCCCTTGGCCACCACGGTGTGCCTCCACCCCCATCTTCCCTGACAGAACTGGGAGCTGTTTGAGGTTTGGACTTCTGGGTAGTGGTGGAAGGGATAAGAGATAGAGCCGATAGTGGGCAACCTTTGCGGACCCAGAGAGTTCAGCCTCTCTCTGTTTTAATTCTTTTTTTTTTTTTTTTTTTTTTTTTTT